TGCAGCAAGTTAAATGGAAACGTTCGTATTCATCTCATCATGTACAGGCTAAGATTAGGATTAGAAAGCAGAAGAGGATAATCCGGCGGGAGTTTCCATCCACGTGGGTAGAGAGTAGCAGAATAGGAGCAACTCGAAAACGAAGACTCCGTCCAGGAGTTGGCGAAGAGTGCTTGGGATCTCCGCTCTCATTTTGCTTAACTCAGCGTGCAACTTGAAAATTCAGCCAGCCCCCTTCCTATCGAGATGGGGATTGGTGCACTTAGGATGGGCACCTGGCAACTGCTCGATCAATCAAATAAGACACATTCTTCGCCTAGTTTCTGTTCCATCTTTTGACTTTCTTGCACGTCAAACGTTCGCATTCACCATAAATACTTCAGAAATAGCAAACAAAGGACTACTGAATCAGTTGCAGAGGCTCATGATCATCACATCACTTGTTTTTCTCGCTTCTCGCTCTCTTATTGTGTGTCATCCATTCATTTAAATCTTATTCCGTATTGGAGGAATCGCTCACTACGATCTCTATTATTGACACTACTCAAGATAAAAATCTCTGCCCGAATCGTTCCACGAAAAAGTTGATGGTTCACAATTTGGAGTCAAACGATCATAAACAGTGAATATTTCATATTAGACGGTGAATATCGTCCAATGACGGGGCGAGAAGCGAGTAGATCAAGTGTACAGAGAACAAATGCGATAAGATCTCATGTCGAACACATGTAACCGTATATGATTCTGTGCTCCGTAATGAATATCGCGTTTTAACGATAAATGTTCATAACGAACGAGAATTAAAGAGGAATTTTCGTACCTACTTGTACAGTCGAGACGATGCCTTCATTCCATACAGTTACTTCTCATATCGGTATGAGAAATGAGGAGAGGGACAAGACGCAGACCTTTAAATGATAATATCATCAACTCTCATGCGATGATATTAGTCTCTTGACTAAGATGGGTGGTCTTATCTTTCCATGCAGTTTGCTGCTGCCACTTTGCCGGTCAAGCGCAAAATTTTTTCGTTAGTTATAGCAGCTATTCATGAAATGGATGATAAATGAAGTCAGTAATTCAATCTCGTAATTTATTTATCAACTGTTTTTGACGTACATTTACGTACATCGTGTTTACACGCGTTGCTTTGCACAGAGAGGGGAAATCTATTGAAGTTCGGAAGTACCATCTTGAGCTAGCGTGAACCTTTGGAAACTTAGAGCACAGCCGAATGGGCATGAATGGAATCGTCGACGCATCACCAATACAAACAGTTACAGACAAACAAATAATGCTTTCCAGTTGAGGGACCGAAAAAGTGACAACATTAATTGGTATGAAACCTATGTCGACACTTTTAATGACTCATCTTCTTTCTCGAACATTTTTTCTTGAAATATTGGGTGCCGTTCATAGATAGAGTAAATTGAATGCAAATGCAACGCAGTATTCGGGTACAAACAAAAACCGATCTTGATTATCCTAACTGGCACTGGATATTTTACAAAATATTGGAATGAGACTGATATTGGAATAAGTTAAGAGTTCGATCCGTACAAAGGCTTGTCGCGGAATGCGATTTAACTTTTTTTAAATTTTTGCAAACAATTCATTCTGAAGCGAATGATTGCTATCAAGATTCTCAAAACAACATGTGAAGACAAAACAGTCTAACCAAAACTTATCCCCTTAATTCAAGAGAGAAAGGCAGAATTATTCGGCAGTGGACTGTATGAAAACGGTATTCGATTATTCTCAAACATTTTCTTCTTCATTTCTGGGCCATCTGACTGGCCATATACAAATACCTGTTGAGACATTCACTCTCGACAACCGTGGATAACGTCTCCAAAATCTATTATTATTCGCTTAGAAATCTCTTGGTAACATCTAGGCGATCGATTCTCTATCGTCCTGTGCTACGCTATGATAAACTCTTCATTCGGACCATCGTCCTATCGTCAGCGTCTCGAATATTCCGGTAACAACAACTTCGTATTCAACAGTGATCAATGCTTGCGCTATACGACCGTTATTCCATTGTTTATAATCCCCTCATCAGCCACTTATATGCTGTTCCTTCCATCATCATATCTACCTAAGTCTTGAACAATTTCTCCTTCTTCAAAATGTTTTCACAAGGTCCATTCACATCAAAGCACCATAATAAAAACGCTAATATCATATAATATTTTCGTTTGTAATACGATAACTTACCAGTATTCTAGAGGTGATGGAAAATTGCACTGCCGAAACGGAGAAAATTATGTGATGAGAATTAAGATGGGCACCATAGCCATTTCTAATAATCACGATGATAAAGAATGGAAAGCGACGAGAGTCGATAATCGATTAACGCTTGTTAATTAACATTTTAAAATTCAAACCGAATTAAAACCTTATTCTCTCAGTAATTAGACAAACATTGCGAAATACAACTGAGTGTTCATTTCAGAAAATTACAGTTACTAAATGAGATTGCTTTCGGTGTCTAGAACGCTCGATCATTTCGATATGCTCTAAATTATGATCGCATTATTCAGCAAAATAATTGGTTGATGATCTCCAAACGCCTTCAAACGCACTAGAAAGTAAGCCAAGATACAAGCGCAGAATCAATTGCAAAACTCGTTTCGATTAAACAACTACGACAAGCCATGACTTAGGTTCGCTTCAATTATGATATTTCACAAATGATTTGAATTGAATATTTCAAGAACAAATTGAAAAGTTTACAGCAGTGGTTGTAACACTCTTGCATTTCATTCTCGTCTTACACCGTACGACGTACTGCTTTTCAACAATTCTTACAACCACGATCCCCCCTCCCCTCCTTTCATCTGATAACCTATTAAATCTGAGTGACAGATCAGAATAAAAGCGAGAAATTGATCCATGATCAACAATGGTTATATCAATGAAAACATTTCCTTGTGATTAAGGATGCATTTTGAAGACATCATTAAGCATTTTTTTCATCAAAAAAGGAAAAAATTTGTCAGGAATCAAACAACAACGTTACACGAAGCTTTTCAATTCCTCCTGGCACACTCAAGATCTTCCCAAGGGATATCTCCTTTGGAACGAGAAGCACCAGTTTAGCGGAATTTACTTTTGCTGCGGTACCAAGTATAGCACACTGTTCCGAACCGAGACAGTTGTGAAAAAAGAAGCTGTCGAAAGCCACCAATACATAATGAAAACTTATTCATATTCATCGAAGGGATGAAAATAAAAGGAAAACTTGTCAATGAATTTAGTCATTCATTGAGACTATACCGTTTTCTCGTAGAAACTGATGGATGCACAGAATGATATTGATCCTGCTGAATATTGCTTGCCTGTTACTGAATACATATTGCTTGATTTTATATTGAAATTTTGACGAGTCCACTTACTTTATTTCGGTCTGAGATTAGTAGTTCGAAGAGGGCTGCTCTAGGTCAGTGCACGAAGAAGTCAGTGACTGAGTGTCGACAAGTCATCACTCAAACTTCAAAAATGCACAATTGCTGCATTTTTTGTTTTCTTTCTTGTTAAACAATAGACAGCAATTAAAACTACAACACTTTCAAGTCGAAGGCACTTTTCAAATGAAATTCCTCACGCAACCATTCACATCACCGGTTTTGAATTCGTTATGGCAACACATTTTGCAATACTCGCCGGAACCATCTTCATTATGAAACAGCTGGACATTTTCTTTTGCACTGCAAACAACCACTTTTCAGAAAATATCGAACTGATTTCGACTGAAATCCAGTAAATGACCACGCTCTCGACTGTCGAATTAAGCATTATTGCCCTTATTATTTAGTTTTTTCTTTCAAAATCCCACTTTATTCGCCTAAACTCATTCCATTGATTTTGGTTTCTGGTTTTCTAATAATTGTCACTTTCCTGAAACACTCTTCTAAGCCATTATTATTCATTCAAATGTGCTTTTCCCGAAAACCATCATTCAATACATAAATCTTTCGCTGTTGCTATTAGAATCGATGTAATGCAGTTTCAAACAGTGCATTGCAGTGATCAACATTTCATTAACATTTTCTAAAAAAGCGAACCCATACAGAGTTATTGTCGTTAAATAACACAAGACAGATTCTGCAAATATCTTCAAAAGAAAAAATCCACACTTCTTGGTACTATACTCGTGGTTTTCTCAAGAGGAGCATCGTTCTAACAATGAAATAGTTTGTTTCGAAGAATACGGTTTTATGTGAATCTCACTGACAGAAGGTTCAAATGAGTAAATAAGATGGTACATACATTCATAGCTCCGAGAAAAACGTCCTCGATTGGAGTACTGTAGGATGCATCCACATTGTTCAACTATCTAACTAGAGTTCATGACTAATTAACTGATTCAACAATGCAGTGAATTAATGTTTATCAATGGGCGCACGAAAGCATGCTATTGAATATTGATAAAAAACAGGAATACAGACAATTACCATCATTAGAAAAGATCACAGAAACAATGAATCTGATATGTGGAAGAGAATAACGATGTTGGATGAATTTTATTCGGTTGTTGAATCGAACAGATTAGCTCGTATCACAAGAGAGCATTTACAAAGCAGCATTTATTATTATTCTATCCACATAATCAGGCAGTAGGAGGTCACAATGCACTAGGAACAGTAGTAGAAAGAAACGAGTTGAAAATGATAACAACATCATGCGTTCTGAGCACATCATGAACATCAAATATGTTATTTACAGACATCTCTCATAGTTTTGACGACTTCCAATGTCTAATTGTAAGTGGTTCTTTGAAGCAAATTCATCATATGTTACCATCAAAGCAAATTATAATAGATCACAAGCATCCGCTACATAGAAATTGGGAAACAGCTTCGAGGAGAAAACAAAACTCCAAAATTTGCACGTTTCAACTAAACATTTTCAGGATAGAAAACAAAGAAGAATAATTTGGAGTATGAATTAAAGCATGATGAATAAATCATCATAATTATTAGTTCTGAAATTTCTCAACTACGATCTATTAAGTGAGTTGATTCAGGATTAGAAAGATTGAACTGTGTGTACAGATTGCCAGAAACATTCGGATCTTGTGTAGGTACTGCAATGAAACCATTGCGAGTCGCTTGTGTTCGCAGATCATCATCCTCTAAAGGATCACGCCATTCGCTATATCGCTCCATTATTCGTCTCTCATCTTCGAAAATTTTTTCCAGTCTCGCATCCAACTAAAATATTATATATAAGTGAATTCATCGATTAATATCGCATAATTATAGTATCTCGAAATAATACTCCTTTTATTTCAACAATTTAAATGAACTCACATCGCCTCCTCTTTTCTCATTTTTTAGTGCTTGAAGTACTTAAACTAAAAAAAGTACTTAAAAGACCGCCAAATTTTCAACAAAACCTTACAAATGAGGTTTTTGCCTGCATGAAATAGAAAGATGCTGATTATGACATATACCACTTCGAACTTTCAGTAATTTTCAACTATGTCCCTATGTTCTATCAGTGGAAGGATCCTCCTTTTCACAATTTCATCTCTAATGAGATTTCGTTCCCGACTCATTTCGAATCGGATTATATTTTGAATCAAGTATAATGTCAATTTTTTGCTGACTCCATGTCCTTCGCTATAATTATTTGTCAAGTAAGGTCATTTATAAAAACGAACCACAGGAGATGCTCGATGAAGATGTCCTCTCATTGCTGCTTTACATTCATCGAACGTTGGTCGACTCGAAGGATCTGGCAGCCAACACTGCCTCATAAGATTGTAACTAAAATAGCAATTAGATGATTCAGAAAAAGATTCGCATGTCAAAAAATGACATAATGCAATGAAACAGAAATAAGTGTTCATTGGTCATGAGGCGAACATCAGCACTCACATTTCGGTGGTAGCGAATCTGGGTTGTTCCATACGATTACCATCTTGTAAATAAGTAATGAGATCATCATTGGAAACTTCAGGATAAGGCACTCGCCCCAATGAGAAAATTTCCCACAGAAGTATTCCGTACGCCCAAACATCCGACTAAAATAACGCATTTTAGACTATATCACGACTGCGTTAACAATCTGCGTCACATTTATTCAAACGAATATCGGATAAAAGGTCTGATTATTATTATTATTATTGCTTTTCACATAATCACTGCTACTGTTGCCGATATCACAATCGCTCGGTTTAGTGCTGCTAGAACAGACAAAAATAATAGTTGATGTTTTCAGATGAATTGAAGTATACACCTCTTCAGTGAAATCATGATTCAAAATTGACTCCAAAGCCATCCACTTGAACGGCAATGGAACATTTTGACTATTACGGATATGATAAATGCGTTCATCTTTTCGTGCTAAACCAAAATCAGCGATCCGTATTGTTCGTTGCTTGGTTACTAGCACATTTCGCGCAGCCAGATCTCGATGGATACACTGCAATTTAATAAGCACTTGAATTACTAAACAAAAGAATTCTATTTCAAGGTCATCATTATAATTCAGCTCTGGAATTCAAAATACGACTTCTGATGCAAAAACGTTACTTTCATTACGAAGGATACAATGCTCTTCTTCATAACCAATATTATGAACATTTCAACGATGGAGATAGAAAATCAACCTACGAGGATTCCTAAAATATGTTTCTTCATTCTGTTCTTTTAATAATTTATTCTTCACAGGCTATAATTAATCAAAAATATACTTACGACTAATTTTGATTGAGAGTTCGATATTTGCAAATTTTTTCTAACTTATCACTCAAAATCCTAATCTCTCTCTTCTCTTCAATGGATTTAAAAGAACGATTATAACTGAGCAACGAACCGTTCTTGAAGCCAAATATTCCATACCGTTCGCGATCTGATAGCCGAACGAAATCAGATCACTGGTGGTGATCATTTTACCACGTTGCCTTTCATTGTCCACATTCTGTGCCCATTCGTCGTCATTTTCAGCCTGGAATAATTGAATCGAATATTGAATTCATCACACACTGCACTAATGCTTATAATAAGGCATTATTAAGCGATCAATTACTATCAAATAAATTTTGAGTCAGCGTTCAAGGCAACAGATTTTCAACGCAGTCACTGAATCAACTGCAGGATAGGAAATCTTCTCTATTTTACAACGTTTTATTGGAATTTGACATAAAATGATATGAAACTAAATCAGGCATTACTTGGCCCGCGAAAACGAGTTGTTAGATTAAAATTGCGCAAAATGCTTATTGAAGACGAATGGTAGAAAAACTGTTCAACCATCGAATCAAGCAAACTAAGACCGGAAAAAAAGTAGTGAAACTCCCGAAAATACCTTGTAATATTCGTTTGAATTCGCAAATGTTGATGCATTGTGTGTCGGCGATAGATATCCATCAGGTGTCATAACCTCAGTCACCGTTTCCACCTCATCCAAAAATCCACCACTATTCTTCGATAAAAACTCTTTGAGATTGTTGTTTTCGCAATATTCCATTACCACATAAAGCTGACCACTGAAATATTACATGAAAACAGAACAGTCAATCTTATTTCATAAACCATCACTCAATTAAGCGAAGATGAATCGTAAATCAAATTACGCTTCTGAAAAACATTATTCCTTGTCAAAAACAGAAAGGTGGATACATTATATTTCAATCATTTTTGAGCAGAATCATCAGCACGAGTTCAATAAGTGAAAGCATACAAATCAACAACTTACGTAGACATTTGTTTGGTAACAGCGCCGATCAAACACAAAACGTTGGGATGCGTTCCAATGGCGATCATTACCTTCAATTCATCAGCAAGTGCCTTCTGATGATTCACATTACGTCCATCTCGCGGTGCTTTAATCGCTACGTCGATTACATCAGATGCCGCTGATGAATCGCTAACACGTGCTTTACGTAATTCACCCAAATATACTAGACCAAACTGACCTCCACCCAGTAACTGAAACAAATAAATGCTCAACTTACAGAACGATTAATTCTATTCAGAGAGATGCACAAATTAGTGCGACCTGACTGGGTTCGTGCATATAACAGTGATTTCAAAAAAAAAGAACGATTGTTATAGCACTGAACTAGAATTACTCGAATACGTGAGCGATAAGATCAAGAAAAATTCAGTGACAACGCGATAATAAGTTAGTCGTACAACTGCTGATGAGAAATATAACATAATGAAATAAAAGAACTAAATCAAAAATGAAAAAAACTTGGTTGAAGTGAAGTTTTTCTTTGTTGATCTCAAATCGACGATCGTATGGTAATTGTTCAACGCGTTCATGAAGTGGATGTTTGGGGTCGATCGGTTGAGGTGTATACTGATGGGCGTCAGAGGCCATCAACTGATTATACAGAGCTTGTAGCTGCTCATCTTTGAGGCGACTCTTACGTCGTTGTCTTATGATGAATATGACGGCTATCAACAAGAGAATCAACGCTAAACAAGTTGGTATCGCGAACAGCCACCACTGTCGAGTGAAACGGGCATAAGCTGGCTCATTGCGTAGCTGCAATTGCGTTCAATAAAACGTGTAAATGCTAGAAATAATCACATTCACAAATCGCACTTACACTGAGCATTACGGTGGCATCTTGCAATCCAGCACGATTTCTTGCGACGCATGTGTAAATGCCTTTATCCTCAACAATCACCCTTGAGAATTCAAGTCGATTTGTTAAACTTCCGACGCCTTTATATTCATTACCATTTTTAAACCAACTATACGATGGTGTGGGTGAACCAACAATTGGACAAACAATCTCAGTTCTTTCACCATAATTTGCCTCGTGTTCATCCTCGCTCAATGATTCGTTAATGTGTGGTGCAATTACCTCGTATATCTAAAACGGTTTTCATTGGTACTAGATCGGAGATTAGATGCTGCAGCTAACTAATGGAAAAAATGAAGTGAGTTTTTGACCAAAAAATTGCTGCCTGGCTCGAAATTCTCGAACTCATTTCAGATATTGATTTTGAGTGACAAATATCGCCGGAAGCGAATTAATCGATTTGTGAAGAATATTTGAAAATTAGACTGATGGATAGAATCACTTGAATTGGAAGTGAATAGTTACGAGATGATCCATTTTGCGATCTTGCAACACATTCATAAATTCCCGACTGTGAGCTAGTCACTTCATCAATCGTAACGATATATTTTTGTGATAAATCATCACTTATTTGTTGAGGAGGCGGCAACATAACGCCATCACGAATCCATGAAACGTCACTGAAAATGTACGAAGTGAGTGATTAAGATAAAGTAAACGTTCTTATAAAATAATATCACTCGAGGAATATAAACAATGAAGCGTTGCAATTAAAAACAATTAAATGAAACGCACAACTGCTTTTTGATGGGCAGTAAACAGATCAATTTCAGTTGATCGCCTTCATAGACACTTTGCAACTCAACGAGCGTTGGATCAGGCTTTGTCACTTCAAAGCTTGCGTTTATAAAAGCAACTTCTGTTACAGTCAGTGATACTTCTTTGAACTGAAATGCTGCTTAATTACAACCATATTTATTGGTATAATTGTTCAGTGGAAACAAGATTGTTTGATGAAATTTGCCGATGAATGCTGTCACACAGTGACGCAAGAGGAGATTCATTTGTTCCTCAACCTAAAAAACACTAGACCGGTAAGCAGTAGACATCAAGAGAATAATGTACTCAGCTTGATCAGGATACATCAAATCCATAAAATATCTATGAACACTGATACATTATGCAACCTATAAGATCAATGAACAAATGTAAAAAACAGATCAGAATAAAAGAATACTTCGTTTGGATTGTCAGTGTTCTCACACTTCAGATCAGTTTGGGAATCTATATGAAGGGACCACTTCAGAGCAGATTCATAACTCAATCCATATAATCTTTCAACGTCATTTATCATTTGCCATTCATTATTATATTCTTTTCTACAAGTACAGTGTCATTAGAGCAACGTATTTCAAGACTCCAAATGAAGTTTATTAGTTACTAAATACATCGCATCAATATTCAGCTAGAACAAAATTACTGTGTCATTTCTATTAGAGATCCACTGACTGCCTTTGCAACTAATTAGTACAACTGTTTTCGAATGAATTTAAATCTGAGCACTTCGAAAATGTTGTACCGGAAGAATAGTTTCATCAAGTAGCATTTTGAATTTGTTTATTTCTGATGCTCATGAAAAGATGAGAAAAAGAAAAAAGAATTGCTGAAAAAAGAAGGAACGAACGAAGAAAGAATCACTTTTTGATATAGAGAGTAGGAGTTTGTTTTGCGGCATCCTGAATGGTGCATATAACAATGATATTACTATTTAACACGATTGGTTCATTGATATCCAACTGAACTTCACCAAAGAGCAGAATTTGAGGCGTTAATTCATCCGACTTCACAATTACAGTCCAATTTCTTCGATAGGTGAAATCGGGTCCAACGTTTGCTATCAGTTCATAACTGCAATGTGCATATCAGGAGAAACTTTTTTCAAATTTCGGAGTTTCTGCGGTCCCAGCTCAGCAGGATACGTCTTTGAAATTCCTCTTCAAAGACAGTTCGATTGACTTGTTTTTTCGCCTGAGGCGCCATATTCCGCGGTTTTCAGATTTCACAATTTCCAAAGTTTCATCCCCTCAAAAGACGTCTGCTGGCGTAAAAACCGTCTGTGTGGAAGACTGCTTCAAGAAGACTCGTCCGAAAGGTTAAGGGATCACTTTTTTCTTTTACATATGACGCCTAAGTGAATATACGCATGCAGTGACCTTTCAATCCAATTTTTTCCTATGAACATTCGAATAGATTGTTTTCAGTCAAAAAGATACGATTCTGAGAGGTAAAACCCGGAAAAGTTCGAAAGTTGAGATTTGTGCAAAATAGTTCATTAATGCTAAAAAAATGGCCAGTGACTTTTCAAGTTGACTTTCCTGCAGCTGAATTTTATGCAAGTTACTTTCAGGCAAAAAAGTATATTTTTCTGGACTGAGAACTGCACTTTTCAGTTCGTTCTTGTTTCCAATAAAAATCTATCATCCTAATGCATAATCAGCAAGAAGAGACGTTATGAAGATGGTGTTAAGAGAACAATCGCTCCAAAGTAACAAGGCTCAACGGTACTTTAATCTAAATCAAACAATCGCATAGGGCTGAAAATGTGAATATTCAATTCGTTTGATTACATGAAATATGAAACTGGAATCAAGACGAGGTTGTTGGAATGGCTCAATGATCACTTACATTCCGGAGTCGTCGACTTTCGCATCTGTGATTGTAAGGATATCCGTGTGAATATCACCATTACGTTCATTTACAATACCGTCTTTGATCGCAGAATACTGAATATCAGGTGATAATGATGTCTTATAAATCTGCAATTAAAAACATTAGATGAACATGTAACAGATGAAATACTCGCAGCGATCGAAAAAGGTAGTAATTGATGCAAAATATGTAATAAGGCTATTAATCGAATGATATAATTATTATCGTACCTTTCTCCATTCAGATTTATATTCATCAGATGGAAAAGGCTTAGCCAAAAGTAAAAGTTTAACATTATCGCCTTGTTCAACATCTACAACATCTGAGCTAGCATCAAGCACTCGGATTTGTCCTTTTGTTGAAGATACGTTTAATTCATAAATGGCATTTCGTGTATCATTAGGATCATCTTTATTCGTTAGTTTGCATTCGTATTTACCACTGTCGCTTCCAGTGAGACCTTTTATGAGTAATAACTTTCGTATTCCTTCTTTTATTTTCACATATCTATGTGAAATCACTCGATCCTAAAAATTTTTAGGAAGTTTTCACAACGTATCAACAGTTCTTCCAATTTCAAATTTGAAAACTTATGAATGATTAATCAGAATCCAACGTTATCCTATGTTAGTAACATACAGAATCGGAGCATCAAACCGAAAGAATATAAGAGTGATTGATAACACCGAAAAAATAAGATGCAGCTGGAGGAAGGCAACATGTTGTTGCTGTTTACGGTTAACAAACTTCTTTTGCATAGACTTAGTGATAACGAGTGACGATTTGGCTCAGGCTTATCACAGCAACAATTGATGATTCACACAAACAACAACAAGAAATACGCATTCGTCGAAATGCGTGCATTGATTTCAGCGAACATTATTACACAATGAATTGATATCAGTGCTGAGGTAAAGAAAAAGATAAGACGAAAAAAGGCGTACGGGTTCATCCTGACATGAAGGACATTGCCAGTTTAACGCATACTTATAAGTTTGCTTAGTGTGAAAAGTACAACTCATTGAATACTCTTCGCCTTCGTAAGGCCATTCGTTTGCCACTTCTATTTGCGGCAATCCTTTATTTTCCACATTTCCCTCTAACGGCACAATCAGGATTTCTGATCTATCACCTTTGAATTCACACCGAACTGGTGTTTCCGAACGTTCGCTAACCAGTTCGCGCTCCAAATAAAATCCATGTCTGAAAATTTGAAATATATTTGCAGAAGAATATAGACTGTTTACAAAATTCGGAAATAATTCACAATGTAACCATAAAATTCATACAATTTGCAAAAAGTATTGTATTGACGTCAATTATAGCTGAGCTGAGGCGGAAAAATTAATGATACCAGCTATAGTTTTGTTGTGGAGCATTGGATGGAAACAATGAAAATGTTGAATGTGCGAAATAATGGTTTGACAAGCGATTGTCTGAACGAAAATGAAATGAATGAGTGAAGAAATAACCTAGGGTCGTATTCAAAGCCATCGAACTGCTGCTTCTGATTGACGAAAAGTTTAACGCCACTGGTAATAAATCGATTCACTTTACATGGTACAACAACGATTTCATCATTCAATAATTTCGGTAATATTATATTTCGGTCGTTCAAAAACACAGATTTACTGCCTTAAATAAATGTTTGAAATAGAACGACTCTGAACACTCACAATGAACCAGTCTCATTCAGTTTGTTTACTAAAAAATACATCGCTGACTGATGAACATGGATGCTCAAATTTGGAAAAAATTGACTCAGCTCCGGCTTCGCATTATAAAAAATTCAGTCTCCGGCTCTCACTCACGCACTGCTTTTTTTTTCAGAACTTCAGCCGCGGCTCCGGCTACAGCTTCGTGTTTTTGTATTTTCAGCACCGATTCCAGCTCCGTATTTTCGAGGTTTCGGCTTCGACCCCAGCTCTGGGTCCAAATTTTCTAGTTTTCGGCTCCAACTGCAGTTCCGACTCAGCATTTTTTATAACTCTGTCTTCGGTTCTAGCTCCGCGTTCCCGAAATTTAGCCTCAGGTTCCACATTCTTCAAATTTTCGGTTCCTGTCTTCACCTCCGAAATGTACGTTGCTGTGCTCCCGCTTCGACCACGAAAAAAAATTATTGTGCAGGTCTTGGCTCTAGCTATTGAATGTTGCTGTGGATTTTTTTTGTGACGAATCAAAAAAAAAATTTCCGAAGATTGAGCATCACTTAGGTTTAATGACTAAACGAAATGAATCTGATGGCAATTATTCGCGCTAACTGTTCTACCAGTTGCTATATGCTAGCACAAACAACTCTTTTTTCACTAATGCACATTTCAACTAGTTACTATCCGAGCATATGCACTCGCTTTGATGAGAACATGAAACATCTGAATCGATTTTATAAATAAATAATCACACTGAAGCTGAGAAAATGAAACAATTCTCCGGTTAAAAAACGTAGAGATTTAAGAACGCAATGATAAATCTCTATGAATTATCTAACACTAATAGTTCCGTTGAACGTAATCAGCGCATCTATCATGGGTGCACACTCATCATTTTTCTTCACAATGAATATTTCTTCATTACGAGATGCATATAGTCAAAAATGCATTCAACAAAATCAAAAAAAAAAACAATTTGGACAATAGCAATTTTGTGACATAAAAATACGGCAAAGAAAATTGAATTTGTATTTGATTTTACAAACGATAATCAAATTCATTAGTTTCATTTACATTCATACCACTAATCGAACATTGCTATCACGGTTTTCATAATGAAAACTACACATAATGAATATTCCGATTATAATCAAGGCAAAATTCTCGGATGAGAATAACATCAGAACAATGGGAAAAGATGAGAAATTTGGGAATAAAATGAGAAGGATTGATGAGAAAAAATCAATCTTAGTATTGGCAATGTATTGGTACTGGTAGTGCATTTCCATGGCAATTAAAATGTGGAGATTAAGTAAGAGAAATTGATGGAAGCCAACAGTAAATGGAATTTCTATTAACTTACTATTTCTTAAAAAAACTTACCTTTTGTTGGCGTGACATAGACATAAATCGAAGTGCTCAGTTGCGATCTTTCTGCTTTGCACACATATTCACCAGTATCTGAATGCTTCAATTTCTCGATTCGCAACGTCCGAAATCCAGGATCGTAGCCATTGAGCACTTTCGTTCGAGTTTTCACCTGAAATCAATCATTGCATTAAGTGCAACGAGAATTCGACAAGTTTTGTTTCTTTTCGTGAAGATTTAGTTAAGAGTCTCCGAAGAATGAAATAATCACACCTCTTATAGATGATAGTTTAGACTTCAAAAACAGAACTCCGAACAATCCTGATTTAGCCAACGATGGAGCTATGAAACTTAACATTGGAATACTGTAGCAAAAGACTAGATGATGACTGATCGAGCTTGTCATTAGCCGCTCAATTCCAGAAGAAGAAATGAAAGTTAAAATTTCTAACTTTTTCCGCAGTAATGATTGATCAACTCTCAACCGCACGTAGAAATTAATAAAACAAACGAAAGAACAGGAAAAAGAAATCTATGAAAACAATTCACGCATGATGGGGTGATTTCAAAGAGTGAAATAACGACCTGTTTTGGAGCGACTCATGAAGAGCAACTTACCCAGAGTGGATGGCACTTTTATTAGATAGAAGCCGTATAGTTTCGGTAAGATTTTCGCTGCATGATTCTACGTATAATCAAGACGAAATAATACACAACGAGCTTGTTTATGGAGGGGCTAAAATGTAGTATTGGCTGATATTTTTCGCAACTCTCCGACAAGTTTCTCGTTCAATGGGGGCTAATAATGAAGAAGATATGGCACTTAGTGAATTATTTGAAATTGGAAATGAATTATGATACTTTGAACGCAAACAGCGTGTATTTGTGAATTATGATACAATATTACTAGATTTTTTCCATATGTCAATGTATACATAATTGCAAAATCGTGAAAAACTGAATGAGAGGCTGTTCGATTCAGGTAAATTTATTGGAATTCAAATTGATTATCATTCGATTTGTTAAAATTCACTGAGGTTCGGTGGGATGTGAAAAATCATCAATATATGTTTGAAACTGGAAGAAACTCAATAATTGGATGTTTGCGTTTTGCTTAAGAAACGAATTCGAATCACTGTTTAAATGTGCATCAAAATGCTCTTTCGTTGTTATCAATTTATTCTTAGGAGAATGAAAGCAATTCGAAAATATCATTCGTTTTTTGGTGTCTTCTCTTTATTTAATTCAAACATATCAGTCACCGGCTGACAGAAGCACTTTATTATATTATTGTCTAGCAATAGAATAATGCTGACATATGCACAATAAAATAATTCTATTGCATACTAAGAGAGCTAATATGCGATGGTACTGCTTTCTCATGATATGGAATGTTATCTGATAATGAACTGATAAGAAATTAAGAGAAAGAAAACAACTAACAATGATCTTAATTCATAGGTTCTTCTTTCAAATTGTTCGTAGAGAGATCACCATTATGAACTGTTAATAAAAACAACAAATACCTAATGATTTTCATTAAGAAGTCGATGTTTGATTCCTTCGCTTATAACAATAGAATCAATTACTAGCAATTAATCTCATACACATCAATTCGTTATCAAAAAAATGCTGTATTTTTAACGCTCACCTGAAAATCGCTCAGTATTTGAGAGAACAAATGTGAAGTTACATTATTTAGCAAGCTTCTCATTGAAAGCGCAATTGTTTACCATCAACTCTTTTAAGATCAAGTGAAAAATACATCGAACATGAATGCTTCTTAGGAAATATGCTCAAAATGAGAGATGTCAACAAGAATGTGCTGTTATAATTATGTTATGAATCATAGACGGTTTATTGCCGAAATGAGATAGGACAGATTATTCAATAAGGTTCGAGCAGCATTCACATAGAACTTATCATCTGAACATAATCGCTTCTTTGATACGTCTCATATAAATCTAATTCCTTTCTACCATCACCGATAAAGTAACATAATATTGATTGTGCATTCTGAATAGCAATGCCACAAAAAACCCTTCAAATATTGTTTCGCAATTCGCATTGAATTCAACAGAAGTTTCTCTTCGATCGAAGAATTTATTTTTCATAGAAAGCGCATGACGAACATGCTCAAACAGGTGACCAAAGCCTGTTGCCATTCTTCATCAAATGTTCTCGTCAATCCAAATTTGAAAAATATTCATTGAAACTGTAATAAGTGGTGAATCAAGGAATAAAAATTCAAAACGATTAATTCTTCTCTTGTCTGACGAAGAAATATTCGCTTAATCAGTGAATGAATGAATCATTGGTGATTATTGTGATCATTTGCCGGATGTGTGTCACTCTCTTTCAATACATAAACGTGTATTTATGTGCGATTATTTCAACGAAATAGCGATTGTTTGAAGAGAATTAATACATTCAAATATTTCATGATTTATCAAATTATTAATCAAGATGTTGTTTTCTTTTTCCAAATCACTTCAGATCAGTTATAATATGGCTTATGAGTTAGTTACTGTTCGGTGAGCAGAAAGTAATTTCTCGAAAATTTCACATGAATCATACTTGGAGATTGATTTGAACTGCAAAATTTATGCAAGACAGAAATAATCAACATTATCTATGGTCGATTGCAACAGTTCATTTCTGACTGATGAAATGATGAACGCTGCAACAGCAAATTAAACGCTATCGCATACTTGAAGGTGACCCATAATAAATAATCATAGGCTCAGTCCTTTAATAAGCAATCCGTTCAGTCTCAGTTTTATTTGTCCGAGCCTAAATTTAATTTGAGCGGAAGAGGAACAAGTCTTGTATACTGGATGAATTCTAGAAGTTGTCTTAGGTTTAAATATACCTCGTCTGAATCAAATCCAGTATTATGAGTGTTTTCAGGTAAAATCCACTGAACAGCCTCTAATGCCGTACAGTTCAATTCCAACGTTCGTCCCAGCTCGATTTCCAGGTAGTGCTGATTTTTGTATTCAGAAAGATCGACATCAGCGAATATATCAGGCGGAACAACTGAATCACAAAAGAACAAGAACGTAAGAAGGATTGTAGCGATATGTAGATTGTGATGGCAGTGTTGACCAAACGACGACATCCTTAATAATTTTTCCACGGTTTTGAATAAATATACGAATAGTTACAACCAGGATACTTCGGAATATACATATATTCAAGTAGTTATGGTGAAAATTATAATTAATTTAGTTGATGTTCATTAATTTCTGATTCAATCGTTTTTAATAATAAGGAATTTGAGTTTCGGTCATTGATCTGAACAATAAAAGATAGTATAAAAACGACGTAAACATTATACGATCAATCGCTTCAATATAGCATCATTTCAAAACGACCACTATTACGCTCATCACTAAACTGAACACTTCTTCCTTTAAAATGCAGATAGGTATCAACGAAATCAAAACAAAAACGATGCTGTAGATAACAAAATGTGTTCTACCTTATTCACTACCCCCGCACATTGTACTCATCATCATCTTTACTTGCATATACGAATAAATTCACATATATATGATTAAATATACCAATAAATACAAACACACACACACACACACTCACATCTACCTATTGTTATATCATCACACACGCACACACATCTTCTGATTATTGTACGGTTTGCTGCTGATGCTGTAGCACTCACTGCTCTTCGTTTTTCTCTCCTCTTTAGTCGCTCCTCCCATTCATTTTGATACACTTTACAGTTATACCTCGACTTGTGGCATGCATCCACACGTACGTCAGTCTTGAATGTGGGCCATTTCGTTTTCAAAACAGGATTTGTTTATCAACTCTATAGAGATGTGCCAATCACATCAATAAGCAAAAAACACTAAAACACGAAGGTAATCGCCGAAATCACGATTAAAGTGATGCCGAAACATTGAATGCCAAACAGTGCATTGTACTGGCCAGAAATGGGCACACTAACGAAAAAAGTTAGCGCGCCATTCGCTAATCCGCTAACCTAACAACTGCAAGCGCTATTCGCTATTGCCATCATGGCCAAAGAAATGGCGGAGCGCTGTCGCTATTCCGTTAATCAAGCAAAATAGTCCGCTATTCGCTATCGCTAGTTTGGAATTTTCTCTCAAAGTTTGCGGTAGCACCATTTATTTGTGAAGGAAAAACCTTATTACGACATTAAACAGTTGAAAATTTTTATGAAATCATTCAACAACGGTCAATAATCATCAATCAATAATAATCACCGGTCAACAAGCACCACAAAATCACCAGTCATTAATAAGCATCAGTTTGTTAATTATATCAAAATTCCCGCACGATTCGATGTCGCAACAATGTACAGTGCAATCATCAACCACACATTCATCCTTTTAACATTTCTTCGATCTTTGCTTCTTCCTACTAATTCATGACATCTCATTTGTTCTCATCGATAATGACTACACTACCTAATCGCATTGCACACATCCATCATCTCTTATATTTGAAATAATAATACCTTTCAAATTTCTCCTATCAATAGCCGATGGTAAAATTTGGTAAACAATGATCGACAATAACTTGAACAATAACGATAACAACGTAAAATTAGAATATTTTGATGAAACTAAAACAACAAGGCATTGACTGCACTCAGTAAGAATAATTATAACAATATATCAGCAAGTAAAGGGTGCAGTCAACAAATTTAAGGGACAATAATAGTTTTCAAATGTCTCCCATCAGGGACCGGTGCTGAAATGTGGTAAACAATTATCAACAATAACAATGTCCTGAACTAGTGTTCGTCAGTTTTTTGGATGGGGGGAGGTCCCCGCGGGCAGAAAAGTGGACAGGGAGGGGTGTCCCCGCAAAAAAGTCGGGGAGCAAATCACGCGGTGGAGACCCCGCCGGGGAATGACCGTTCCCCGTATTCCCCGACGGGGAGCATCTCAGCTCAATTTTTTAAATGAATTTCAATTTTTTAAAGATTTTTCTTCTTTTTTAGGGAGCTTTTTTTTTGAAAGTTCCGTTTCAGCTATTTAAATAGATTTTTCTCTCGCGATGTGCACCTTTGGGAGTGAAATGAAATTGTTTATCAATGATAATACGCTCACGACTCCAGCTCTAACATGTTGCTATCATTCAAAAACCTCACGATAAATTGGTTTTATTTTATTTACATCTCTATCTTATCAGTTTTATCCTATCTTATTATCTCCATTATCGTATCACTTTCACAATGACTCACGCCCCCAATAATCCAATACCTCAACAATAATTACCGGAAACATCATCAGTATAGAATGAAGTGAGAATTTTTGAACTATTTGATGAGTAGACGGATTTAGTAATTGTAATGATTTTTTGGATAATGGATTCAAACTTCTGATATCGAAATAACTCAAAATCAGTTGGTCAATAACTCAGTTGATATGAGGGCAAAATCATGAACATTCAAATAAATGACAGGTTGGAAACTTAAGAAACCATTGTTCTTGACAAGTTTCTCGATCTCTATGATTATATCCTTTAAAAATGTCATTTGCCATCGATTATTTCCCCCTCAGCAATATTTGATTCTTTTAAACAACCGTTTAAAACGGTGCTACAGAAAGAAATATCTTAAACTGCACTTCCTTAGAACGCCTGCTTATCAGGCAAAATTGCACTTCATCAGGAAGCCTGACCTGATGAACAGTTTGATGAAGAGTTGCATCCTGTAGATTGTTCGTAAGGTCTCCATTAATCCATCCTTCAACGAGCATGTTTGCTCTTCTCTTCAGTGACTTCTCGTGTGCCCTGTCGGTGCGAGTTATAGAACGCCAATGAAGTCATCTTTTTCTGTTTTTTCCGATGCATTATCGCATTTTGTTGCATAAACAGGCTGGCTTTTTGAAAACACTTGAACTTTTATTTTCATCAACTGCTGAACAATTTCCCTCTTATTACCATCTCCATCATATTTATCCAAACATGGGAGCCGAAATCAAAGAAAACAACTTCCATTAGTTATAAAAAGTTTTGAATGCTCAATAGTATTTCACTACTGATGGCATAAAGCATTGCTGGAAGTTCGATTAGGATTTTTTCTATAGAAGACTGAAAAAAATTCAATTGTCTCATTTCAATTCCTCATCTTGGATGAAAGCCTGCCGCAAGTAAACAGTCAACATTATTCATTATGGTTCTCTTTCTGATACCTTGTAGTACTGCGTCAACGAGCGGTTCACAGTAATGCAACCGACCCTCTTTAAGCTCACTAAGTCTAATAAACGTCGTGACGCAGAGTGGTAACAATCAACCGAAATAAGAGCATTGCTCGCTCTGAACCATACCGATAACAGTCGCAACTTTTATAGGCTGCATAACACGGGCATAGTCGGTTTAAAATTCGATATCTCGCTCTCAAAACGTGGTTAAATCCTGTTGAATCACAAATTACCGGAGACCAACATTTTTGTCTTCAGTAATCTTGCTCAAGGACACAATTGCATCGTGCATACTGTTCCATCTTGTGTCATTCAGCACGACCAATCTCTTACTCACTATCAGCTCCTTGTAGAGGGAATCGGCGGTTATTGTGCTTTGGTGATTTTGGTAATTCCATAACGATTTCACCTTCGCTAAAGCAGCCCCATAAACTCTTCTAAATGCAACGTTATTAGCAGCCTTCTCCGAATCCTTGATGGCGATTAAAATCCAAGTGTGTACAGCACGTCTACGTCTCATATGGGCTGGTAACATTATGTTGTTTACTTCTTCCTGATCACCCATTTCAAACAAGAATAAAAATTCTACTTCCTCACTTGTCGATGGACATTTATCATCTTCATTTTGAACAAGCAGGCTTTCCACAGCAGCATCTTCTGCATCGGCTATTCCAATCTCGTTACACTTAGGCGCCAACGATTCATGAAGCAAATTTTCAGTTTCTCCAAATTGTGAAAAAGCTTTGGCAAAATTGCGTGCATTATCTGTGGTAGTCATCACAACCTTTTTCTCGATGCCAAATTCAATATGAATCATCTCAATTGCTCCAGCGACAACATCATATGTACGAGCTCTTTCCGCTCTCAAACATGGCAGAACACCACTTTTCTTCTCCCTCGTTTCCTTGTCCAACCAGTGGACGGTCATTTCCAAGTACTTCTTTTTAGCAGTCGTCCAGCAATCGGTGGTTGTCGCAACCCATTCGATTTTGCTAAGCGTACTGAAAATAAAATAGTGTATGATCTTTTTTGCACGTTAAACAAGAAACAACAACAGTCAATACATTGAAGAAAGCAACAAAAAAGGATTGAATGAATATGGAAACCCTATATAGAAGGAATGAAAATGTGTTTGCCTGATCTTTTGTTCCTTCTCATCATACAACGCCAAAATCTTTCTTATGATGGATCTTCTCGATGGAACTACCTTGAACAAAACAATTGACAGTTTAGTTTGATTTTGGTGTTTGCACAAAATTTTTATAGCTATGCGTTTGTCAGACATTTCAGATTTGCCTGAGCTGAAACTCAGCTTCGTTTCTGATACGATTTCAAGCTCGATTTTTAATAATTTTTCAGCTGTCTGACAATTTTAACATACCTTTGACGAATTCAGTGCACTGCTGTACCTTCAGAACCATAAGCTGTCGACAGTTTGCAGCGAATGCATATCAAAAACTAGCAAATCCACAAGCGTCTTGTCCAAGGCACTTTGGGAGATGGCTTGTTCGTAAACATTGCGGATGGAGTCTTGAACTGATCATTGTCGATCACTGGTGGACGGACTTTCAGGACGCGAGTTACTTTTAGAACCTCCCACACTCTCAAGTTTTGTATCAATGAGTAAGCCTTACAGCAATATATACAAAACTTTCAAATTTATAAACCATAATTTTGCGAATCATCGATACAACTGGGATTTGCGTATAACTGTTTATCAGCACAATTACTCAAACTTGAGTAAATAAACCTTACAATAGTATAATAAATTCACGCATTCATAAAGACACATTCGATTCTATGAGTTGAATGTTAATGGTAAGAATAATATTGATAACACTTTGAATTAGTAATGACGTTTTAAAGTAATAACATTTTAACATTTTCTTAAATCATGACATTTCAACATTTTGAACATTCTAACACTAATAAGCGAACTAGTGCTGAGATACGCATTTTTCAACAACAATGAAAATAAGGATAACGATAATAAAAATAATAATCTTGCCTTCATAACCAAATAATGCGTAAAATGATGGAATTTACGAGACGTTTCGACGCAAAACGTCAGCTTCAGTCGCAGGAGTATTGGATATTGAAGATGGTGTGCATGTGCAACTGACTGATATGTTAAGTCCTTGGTAGATTAATTCTAAAGGATTAAGGTAATCCTTGGCGATTACCTATGAGCATCTTTATCCTTGGCGGTTACCTATGAGCACTAATAAGCAATAAAATTTTCTTTGACTTAGTGGCAATTTCAGCAACACCAATAAGAATCATGTTTGGAATAATAAAACAAAACTAAGATAGCAATAAAGCGAAACCATTCAAAGTGAACACTATCAGATACAATATTATATCCGATAATGCTCAATCGTATGATTCGTCGGTTATACATGCTTACATTCACGAAGAGTCAAAGAAAGTACTTAATGGCATAAGGCTTTCTTTACCCTACTCGTTCGTATGGGCACATTGCGGAAGATTTATTTGTGTGATATTTGCTAAATCTATATTTCATACAGTTCTTTCATCATCGCTTCCTTCACTAGGGGTTAGACCACGGTTTGCATGGAATCTCGAGATCCCGAGATTTGAGTTCTGATCCCTTCCCCCCCAAGTTTTGAAAAATCCCGGGATCTCGGGATTTGATGAAATAAGTCATTTCATACGATTTTGGCAATTAATTAATCTCGAATCACGCATTAATCATTCCGAGATCATTCAGGTGTGTTGTGCATCACCCTCCTTTGAACACGATGTTGAAAAAATCTGTACAATGCTCCGATGACATTGAGCAGGTTCTTGCCGCTCTAAAACTCCCATACGAACAAAGTGAGCACGATCGGAATGAAATAACAGACTTATGCAATGTACTGGAAGTTTTCGAAAATGCTATCAACACATTATGTCGCCGAGATACCGATTTATTCAAAGCAGATTAAACGCTGAAGTTCTCTGTCGATGCATTGAAGAAATTGAGTATGAAGATCGCTAATGACCTCTTGTGTGCACTTGTGGTAAGGAGCGCGATATATGAACGATCCTGATTACGTGCAGAAGGGAACAGACGGGGTATGCGATTGTTAGAGAAAATATTGTGAAGCTGATGGTGGATTGATCTTCGAGGCACTTCGGTACGAAGAGAGAACAAAATGATGATGTTACATCAATCTCATCGATAGCAACAGACTCTTCTCAGAATACGAATGATCTCTCTTAAGGAAAATAGAATTGATGCTGAATCTTGAAAGGTGTGAAAGTTCCGCAAGCTGTAAAAGAAGCAATGACGTGAAGAGCAGAGTAATCTCTGAAATGCATTTGTAAGAAGAGACAAAGGAAAAGAAAAATATGAAAATTGTATAATTGAAAAAAAAGAAAAATATGACATTGAATATGAAAAAAGTGTACGAGTTTATCAAAACGATCCCAGCAACGAGTGTCGAAAGCGAGCGCGCTTTCTCAACTCTTTCCTTTTGTTATTCAAAACTGAGAACGCGAATAACAATGGAACTATCAACGTTGTCACGTTTCTCAGAGCTTGTTTCAAACAGCACTGAATTATATGTTAAATGATAATTGTTGGATGATCGTTGAATAACTGCACTGAATTATATACTTCACGTCATTGAATAATTTATTGAGTAAAACGAGTATTAATTGTTGCATGTGTTGATTTGAATCTGAACAATTTGTTGGTTCAAAAAATTTGGGCACTTTTTTACTTTGGGGGGGGGGGGGGNCCCCCCCCCCCCCCCGAAGTAAAAAAGTGCCAAAATGTGTTTAAACATGCCACGCATCGATTTCTCAAAAGTTGTTCAATCACGAGATAACATCGGGATCGAAAATTGACCCGGTCTTAAATCCCGATCCCGGTGTTGAAAAAACGTCGGGACTTTTCAAAGCCTAGGTTAGACTCTTGAATGTTATAACAATTCATCATGTTTAATCTCCTCTCACGACTCACCAATCACAAAACAGCCACATAGCATAATGAGCTGAAATGTGATGGTAGTGTTGCACCAAAAGCAAACATTTGAACTGAGAGGGTACGATACGGTAGGCTTGAATTTGGTGCAGTGTTACAGCACAAATTTTTGTTTGCATATCTTAATGGTGGGAGACTTATGCATTCACTCGCACACGTACGGTTAGCGGAATTAGTTCGCTAATCCGCCGTCGTTCGAGAAAAAATAGCTCGCTAAACCGCCATCCAACGACAATAAATTCGTATTGATGAAAAATTTCGCTTTTCAAACACGATAATACCCATCTCTGGTACCAGCTATGATACATGACGCTACTTAAAAAGTAAGTGATGGGTGTGCATAAAGCATCACCAGCAAATCTGTTAGCTGGAGAAGTTGATAACTAATTGTTTCGAGCAAAACCTTGACAGTGTGCTTTAACGATCAGGTAAATGTTTGTTTGTGTCTTCGTTCTTGCGAAGAGTTTACTTTTAGGTTTCACCTGTATGTTAATTTTGTGTGCGATGATTTGGACAGCGGATTCTGTTGATGTTGAATGTCATCTTATTCAGCTCGAGGATGAATGGCCAAACGAAGGACAAGATGAAAAAGTTGGTTATCTAATGTTGCAATTTGTAAAATAATTGCATCGGCGATCGAGCACAAGGATGATCAAACTCATTCGCTTATCAGAGCGATGCATCCCAGAGACTTAAATTTGCCATCTGCATCGAACAAACCGACAAAATCTTCAGAAATTTTGAAGAGCTCCTCGCGCTTTTGACAGCTGGATAAACTTATTGTTGCGCTTCAGCAGTTCAAAAATTGGCTGATGATAATGCGTTGTCGTTATTGGGAGAGATGATGAGCAAATACTTACAATTAGGTGAGACGGTTGTGAAGCTCACAGCAAGTCATGGATGGTTCCCACGATTGGAACAGCTTCATGTTGTTCTCCTTTCAAAGAGCGAAAATGGATGTGCATTGGCCGATGGATTCGTAGCAAGCGGATTCCACATTACCTTTGGAAAAATCATTAAGGATTTCTGGAACTAACTAGCGCCGTGAGTCTAGGTATGGCTGAATATATTAAGTATGGTAGAAAGTTCTCGGGCACTTACTCCTAAAATTTCGAAGTTTCATAACTCGGTTCAAATAATTCGAATTATTTTCTTATCCATAGCTTGGATTTGCTCCCAAAGACCCCAAATTAAAAGAATGAATCAAGTATGGGTATATTCAGATAGCACGGAAAATGAGCTTATTAGGTATAAGAACTCTACAATAAAACGCAATATTCCATTGTATCAGTTGGCAGCGTAGCTGTCCGAGAACTTTCTGCCACATCTAATATTTGATGACAATGATCGAATCGAACAATTGAAGGTGATTTGAAATTTCTTGTGGATATGTTACAATTTCAATATGAAAAAAAGTAATTCTTCGAAAAATTACCAGTTTCCTTCTTATGACATAAACAGTACCTAGATAGACATTAGATTAAAATAACATTCATATGAAGGCAATCGAACTGAAGTGAACTATCAAATAAACGTGATGATGAATAAGGGAAAACAAAGTGGCATATTAATGGAATAATCGGATTAGAAATGAAGTATGGATCTGAATGAGAGATATTAGGATGTAAAAAAGAACGTTTGCAGAGGCTGTTCATTAATAATGTACTGATAAAAAGTGTTACACACCAGTGAGATAATGACGACGTAAAAGCAATGGTGAGTATTCCGCTACCAGCGGAGCTATTTTTTCGGTCGTCCAATGGCTCGTTGCTTTTTTCATATAGCAGAAATTTGTAGCGATAGCTTCCGCTACAGCAATTATTTAGTGGCACAAAGTAGCGATAACTTGTGCTATTTTCTTTTGTTAGAGTTTTAGCGAACTACTTTTTCTTTCACATTTGCACTAAGCTGCTATTTTCCATATGCGAGAGAATGTTCATTTTTGCAGCATCAAGATATTTAACACATATATTCGCATTCTAGCACTGATAAGTTCTACATTCCTACTCGTGCTCCTTCTAACGGATCGGCATTGAATATTCAATCACGCCTCTGTAAGTGCACCACTACCATTCCGTCTGAAATCATTCAATTATGTGACTCTGATTAAATTTCATGGTAGTGCAACGAAGTTCTCTTCATTTCTGTTCTCTCTAGGAAAGAATAAAATGAGGACCAAACAATCCGGACTCTCAGACAAATGCTCAGCGTGCTGATACTCTGGAATAGAAATGAGAAGGTGTAGTGTGTCCTAGCTATGGCATCCGACTGACGGTGGGTCGGAAAAATCCGACAATTTCGGTTGGAATTACGACATTGGGATTCCGACCGAACAGTTTGGAAGATCAGTCGGAGTTCCGACTGTCGAAAATTCAATATGTCGGATTCCGATCGACATGAGATTCCGCTCGGATGCCATCACTAGAATTATTGACGAGTTGATTCGCAATGTTACTAGAAATATGTTGCAGTGAAATATTCGTGACATATTTGAGATTCATTTGAAGATTCTAGTATTTTAGTGTACGTAACCATGAAGCTTATTTTCCTACCTAATAATTCCTAAATGCTTTAAGGATACAGACTTTAGCTTCTGAAGATGGTTTCATATGTTTGTTATGCATTTTCGGTCAATGACCATAATTTTCCCAGACTGTAATACGCCATTTTCAAGCAGTCTCTGAAATTTCATTGAAGCCGTTCATTAATTTGATTTAATCATCACACCTTACGTTCGCTTCACAGGTTGTCTTTATGTTTTCATTGGAATGACTTTTCTTCTTGAGTCACATTTTCGCCATTACCTATTCATCATCTCTCATGCACATTTTGAGTGGTAGCATAAGGTTCCGGGCATCCTTATTCTTGTATCAGGCATCGGCAACCCCCGGCCTGCGGGCCAAAACTGGCACGCCGACAATAATTTTTGGCCCGCCAAATGAATTTGAGAATTTGATTTTAAAGAGGTAAAAAAGAAAAGAAAAAAGTCTTAAATTATTTAGCTACTACACTGAAGATTGTCGATACAGAATTTCCTTATAGACGACTAACTGTGTCGCCGACACATACATTTTCTCTTCCGTTGGCACGCCAGTCAGTTGCTCGGGAAAATTTTGGCCTGCAGTTAAGCCTACTTGCCCATGGCTGTCTTGTATATTGTGCCTGAGAAAGTTAGAACAGGTTAACTTTAGTTGATTTAACACGTGGTGTCCCAGAACGAGCGTGCACTTCACTTTGACTGTTGTTGAAATGTTTTTTGTTGGCAGGGACATTATGAGGTAATATATAATCTAATGAAGCTAAATTGTAACACACGAATCGATGGAGTTATTAATCATTAACACATTTCTGCCGGCAAGGTAAAGGATATAATTGAAATATCAGATCAATTTGCAACCTCCAGAAGAAGGTTGCAAATTCTTTCTAGAATAGTGTTCCTCACGCTTGGAAATTCCATTACCCCCTTCGATGGTCTGGCAGGCTGCCATTACCTCCTTTCAACATTTAGCACTTTCCACACAAATTGTCAGGAACTAATCGACAACCAGTCCAGAAATTTTTCACAATCAGGAGCATGGTATAAATTATTTTTTTTTGGAATGAAACAAGTATTTTTAGAACTTTATTCATCAACAGCAGAAACCTTAGCAATTAAAAATGATACGAAATATTAGTTTGCAAAGGAATTTACAAAAGCGACTTCAGAAGATTCCCTAATGTCAGGAAACTATATATGTTGTCGAGCGATTTTGCATATTTCCCTTAGATTCGGCTGAATTAAGAGAGGTATGCCATATAGCTGAGCGATTTCAATGCACTGTCAAACTCTGTTCCAGTGGTTCTCACACTTGCAAACACCATTACTCTTTCAACTTTTGAAGACAATTCCTTTTCGGTAAACAATGTATAGTATCACGTAACCGCCGCGAGCAAGAAATCCATCCGAATGTACAACAACCACCCGAGCATGCAATGTGCAACAGTTGCCGAACTCGCCGCCCATGTAGAAAACAGTTCGACTGCTATCGTACTACCCGCTGACATGAATGCTGTAGCGTGAAAAATACCGGAACTCCAGTAATTTATGATTGTCTAGCCAGATCAAACTAGTTGCTGTGTATTTTATGATCATATTCGTTTTGTTTCCTGTTTAACTGACCTATGCTTGATTGTATTGATACCTCCTTTCTTCCATGCATACTCATCTCACTGCAGGCTTCTTCGACAATGAAGGATTTCATTAGTTCAAAAAATGAGTCACCCTTATCGCCGGAAGTGTTAATTGATGATATGCTAAACATACTGATTGGTATGATGTTTGTTTTTTTTTATCTCGACAACTTTAAATAGTACTTGATACTATAATTTTCTTGCTCTTCTTACCCAAAACACCTGACCTTTCTTTGTCACATCCGCTCCTTATTACTCCCTTACAATAATTTGCTATTTCCGCGGATAACATCAGGAGCAAATCAAAAACCAATCCGGACTTCATTCGTCAATTGCAGAAACCTCAGCAGTTAAAAACGAAACGAAATATCATTTTGCTGACCTCTTCAATTACAGCTCCAAATTATCCCCAAGGGATAATTTACCCTCTTTTGAGAACCGCTGTTCTAGAATTTCTGAAATGTAATAGAAGTATGTAATGCATTTGTGTGATTCAGGCAAATAAATAAATGCTTCTTTAGATGTTCAAAATGTCCAAAATGTCAAAAAATGTTCAAATGTTGCTTCTTTAGACGTTGTTCAATTACGTTCACGAACGTTCGAAATTCAAAAATGGTATGTGTATTTGTGTTTTGAAAAGATTCACAGCAATGAAGATATTTGTTCAGAGGAACGCATCGCATTTTCCTCGATTCAGGCACTTTCAGATCATGCAAACGAATTACGATTCAAATTATTCGCATATATTCGTACAACGAACGGCCTGTAACATGTTCCTCAATGAACGGCATAACGCAGTACATTTATGTAAAAGTTTCAGAAGAAAGAACTTCAATTGAGGAACAAAAGAATTGTGATGATGTGAATAACTGAACAAAAGTGACTCGATGCATTGGAAATAAGCAATAGAACTTTATTCGATGATGATAGCATGATATACAGTAAACTGAGTATTTTTTGTGGAATGAAAATGTGATAGAAGATAGATGATAATTCAAGAAGAAACGAATAGAAGAATTGATAAGGGATTGTGGCTGATTCTGAATAGTTAAGTTCATTTGTGAATGCTAAATTTAATTGTTAGTAGAAAGGATTGAAAAATGCAAAAACGGCGATGCGATTATGGGCGTGGCGGTAGTTGGGATGTGTTGGCTGGGCTGATTTTGATGCAATTATTGAAAGGATAAACGACTAGTGACTAGTGCTGGTTCGCGTATTTACATTTGAAGGAGGAAAGATATATTTTTTGTGGTTGATTCGCACTGTTGCATTTTCATATTTTACATTCATCTTTATTTGTTTCATTCTTCACATTTATTGCTACTATTATTATGCTACTATTCAATCCGAATTAATAAACCTGTCATACTCATCATCATGCCCAGAATGCTACAAGAAGACTGTTAATTTAATGCAGCAATGTGGCGGTGCTATGACACAACAGAAATAATTGTATTAAACTTGATTCTGTCATTAATACCACTAATAAATGCACAGATATGTGCATATTGTGAGTGTGACCATCGTGCATCAACGATTGTTTGCAGTGGACAGAATGTTCTGATTCGTTCATTGACACTACCCACATGGGCAGAAAGCTTGACTATTCATCATCTTTCATTGCACCATTTGCCTCATTTCACTTACAATAATAATGTGAAAGTGCTACGTATCAATTATTCGAACTTATCTTATATTCACTCATTATCGCTAAACTCATTACCAAATCTTGAAACACTTCATTTAGCTGATAATTTGATCAGCGAATTGCCCGAAAAATGTTTTTATCAACTCAACAAATTAAGAATTTTGAATCTAGCTAGGAATCGAATCACAGATTTGGATAAAATCAAAAATGTTCTACCGACAGATCACATTCTTGATCAACTTAGTTTAGAAGGAAATCGAATTGAGTTGAGTGCATTTGGTGTTCGTCTTCCATTATCGAGGCAATTCCATCTGGCGAATATGAGCATGCAAAAAATGAACGACACAACGATCATATTCAATCCATCATCCGAGTGTTCGTCGAATCTACAATGTCGTTGCTTGACTATTTCTGCCTACCAGTGGTCATTAATACGTACGTTCGACGTATCGTCACAACAACTCGCTATCGATGAGTCTCTCTTCAAAATGTTAGCCAATGTTTGGAGCATTAATTTATCCAGTACGAAACTACCACTATCATTTTCTAAATGGCTTACTACCACCACTAGCATCAGACATCTCAATCTGAGTTCTGCAATTTTAACAATAAGTAAATGGGAATGGTGTGCTGAGAATCTGGAATGGTTAGATATATCGAAAATGAGTTTACGTTATTTAGCAATTAGCAGTAACTGTAAACTTCGTTATTTGAATGCAAACAACAACGTTCTTGAATCAGTGTTCCTTGCTTCAACAACGCTTGAGATTGTTCTGCTGGAACACAATCGCCTCAAGTCATGGCCAGTACCTCCGACTGGTATTGCCCTAACACGGTTACATACATTATCGCTAACAAACAATCAGATCGACTACTTGCCCGATGGTGCTCTCGTTCACTACCCGCAACTGCAAAATCTTGATATTTCAAGGAATATCCTGTGTAATCTTTCCGTGGCTTCGTTTCCTTCAATTGGTATGCAAATTCGTTCATTAAATGTTTCACACAATCGTTTAGCAACATTTGTACATCCCGTTTTGCCATCATTACTACTGCTTGATTTATCACATAACTCACTTGTATCACTTGATTCTGATTTGCTGGCTGGTTTACCTCTCTTGCAACACTTTTATTTGAATTCTAACGTTGAGATATTCTCGCAATGTCATCAAACGTGTTGGTTGAATGCGTTGATTCAAATGTTGAATTTGGTTGAGTTGAATTTATCCAACTGTCAATTGTCTCGAGTACCAGATCTATCACCATTTGAAGCACTCCGAAGACTCGATCTTTCGCGTAATAAATTAACAACCATCGATGGTTACATTTTACCGAAGGGCTTACAACGACTTGACGTGAGTCAAAATCATATTCATACGTTAACCAATTTCAGCGTTGAAAAATTGACTTCACTGCAAGAATTAGATATATCGCGCAATCCACTGCTTTGTGAATGCACACTAGCTGAATTGATACCTTTGTTCGATGCGCAAAAACTCAATAATGCTGATTTATATTATTGTTTTTCGGGTAGTTGGCAATATCCATTACGATCCTATATTGATAATGTTCATTCGTGTATTCATTCAACGTCACAATTATTAACAGTCTTATTGAATGCAATATTCATTTTGATGATCACATTCACTATGTTCATTTTCATAACATTTTTACTGTGTCGTTACCGTATCCACCAAACCATTTTTATACCATTTAAATATACACCACTCACAATGAGTGACGCGAATGCTGTTGACTTATGATTGCTTATTTGTTATTATTTGTGTAACAGTTGATGTAAAGCAGATTGATATTACTTCATTTGTTCACTAGTCTATCATGGATAAAAAAGCGCAGTCTTTTATCATCGTGTATGATGCCACTTCAGTATGAACATACCTATATTACCATTTGATTCTCCCTTCACCTATTCCATCAAGCTTGTTCAGCTTTATATACATCATGTTCAGGTTTATACACAACCTATCGATATAGGTCTATCAAAAAAACAATGGCAGCATAAATTGTGAGTTATAAGAACTGTAATTGAGAATTGATCAAAGTTCGATACTTGATTGCTCATATGCAGAGAATGTGGACAATAAATTTCATGGAACGATGATTGACCGTTAAAATTCGCATTGAAACACGTTAAATGAATATCTGTGATGTTTTCAGTGTTATCAAACATAAATGAAAGTTATCAGTTGAAAATTCATACAAATATATTGTACATTCAAAAAACTCTTTGGTTCACAAAATTATTGGCAAGAATACCGAGTAAGGTGTACAGACTATATGAATATGCAGATCAATCAAATCTGTTTACTTTTGGGTGTTTTCAATAACAATGGTATATTCATTTCATAAAACCATTTTCTTCGGTTTCAACTCAAACCAAGAGTTATTTTCCAGTAACACAAACAGAGAATACTTCTCTATCTAGGATGGATCTTGAAAGCTCTCGACGCTTGATGCATATTCGTTCAAATTTGTTCATTCATTGCAATTTTCTCCTTGATTTGAGATCAATAGCATAATGTGCATTTGTTTGGTTGTTTTCAATCCAACTATCGCAGCACAACTGAAAATATTTTACGAGGATCGCATCAAGGCGAAAAGATGCCTTGAGTAAACGAACTAACTAATTCAATTCAATAAAGTAGACTAGAAATGGCTTAACATTATCAAATATGACGCACAGCATTAGCATAAAAGCGAATTATATGCGTTGTGCTGCTGATCATGCATAATCCACTTTCTTACACAATCAAGAATGTAGCATCGCAATGCAACCACACAGATTCCACTTCCAACGAGAAAAGTGCATGTTGACTTTGAATATCTAACGCAGTTTGGCTATGAATAAACTTGTATTTACTTTACATGCCATTATAAACTCAGGTGGAAGAGTTCATCAGCGATTTTTTGCTTGGTTTGCAATGCTTTTTGCAACAGTATTCGGAGGTTCTGCTTTGCAGTTCACGTATATGGGCATAAAATAATTGCAAATTTTCGACTGATTTGACGAATTCATAAAAATGTTTGATAAAAAATTTATAAATTCATAAAAATTAAAAAATACTTTATGGCTTTATTTCTTGCTGACTTCCTTGTCAATAACAAATCAAAATTGAAGCAAAACTATCTCGAGAATTTGGCAAAAAATTTAATGGAAAAATTAGAAAAATTCAAAAAGGAGTGAAATTTTTCTTGAAATTATTGTTGCTGCAAAGAATATTCTGAATTGAGATCGATTGGCTGTGATAAATAGATAGCTATTATACAACATGATAGATGCCACATGAATAGTTGAAGTATAAAATGTGTTTGTTGATAAATACGAAATTGATTCCGATGGGAATAAAGTCGTTGAAAGATACTTACCAATAAATATTTCATTCATCTTACAAACATTTTGAACATGCAATTCAACTCGGATGCAAATGGAACAAGGGCAACGATGAGAGAGAGACGAGAGATGACAACAAGAAGTCAATGAACAATGTGGCTCGTTAGCATTTTATTGAACAGCACGCAATCTTTTATAATGCAATCCATTTTATTGTCATCGATGCAACCAACCGTTTGTCGAACTCTTTCCAATGAATGTTAGCTTGAAAATCGTGCTACTAGTTCACTCACAACCCAGAAAACATCATTTGTTCATAACCGATTCCAATTTTGGATTATCTTCACTCCATTATTTTAGCCATAAGTTTAATGGTAATTGTTTGCCTTGAACTCGTTTCAATGTGTCCAAAAAGGCTATTTGCGTTCGAAAATTTTGGTGCATGGTCGACAGACATCATAAAAAACTTATCGTTTGCAGTTAGTCAGTGAGTTTTAAAATGTTTGAATCATAAACAAGAGATGAAACTGCCATAAACTTGTTCCATGCAGCAAATTAAAGCGCGTTACTACAAAATAATGATATGAAAGCAAAAAAATAAACAAATCCCAATTAAAGAAGATAATTTTCAATTTTTTTCAAATCCTTCCTGCACCATTGCATTCACTTCAATTTTGCTTCCGTAACTATACAATTATTTACAACTGACACAATCAAAATTAATTCATTCTGAAATCCACAGCACCGGTCCCGTCAGCTCAGTTTAAAGTTTATGCAATGTTAAGTGACCTTGCAACAACTCAGTAGACATTGGCGATTTACTCGAGATTCATAATGTTACAGCTTTTCTGTGTTACATCTAATGATAGTATCATCCATATGGAGCGCATCCAATTTCAAAATTATATATCAAACAACAGATCGTAAACAAATTTTACCACGAAGTCACTTACTAGCGAAATACTGTCATATGTTGAAGAATTGTAGCCAAAATGAAATTGAACACGAATAAATAGCTATGGCTTGAAAAAATGAGTATTGAAGTATATTTTATTGAGACGCTGATGAAGCGGAATTCAAAAAATTGACTGAATCGAGCACAACACGGAGCTAACTGAACGGTTGGCCCACGTTGTTTGACGAAATATCAGCGGCATGCAGACTTCAATACGTTACCAAAAGAAGTGACAGTCACAAAAGGATCTGAATTGTTTAGTCATGCCAACGTTCAGCTCGGTTAATGCATTAGAAATGCTTATGGTTGTGAATTCAGCCTCCTTTGAACCGCTCTTGATAAAGTTGTTCGACCGTAGCAAATCTGTACGAAACTTTTGACAAGTTCTGAAAAAACCATGAAAGTTAACTGTGAGAAAATGTCAACTTACGAATAAGACGTGTTAGTTATGGTACGGAAGAGCGTTCGGATAAGTAAAGAAACTGAATAAAAACGCAGTAGCAGAAATGACAGGTTCGATGGAGGTGTCTCTTGGAAACGTTTTTGGCTTAGAGTATTCCCTACAAGAAATTGCTTTGAGAAGATATGAAGAGAAAGATGAAAAATGGAAGCACTCAAGCGTCGTTAGATAGCAAAGAAAAGGTATTCAAATTGGAGCAGTTGACTGTGACACGTAGTTGCAATGCATTTCAACATTTCGTTGAGATGAGTACTTTATAACTGTCATTCAGTTTCAGCTAGAATCAAAATCAGGATGAATGTAAATTTCATGAATGCTTCAGAAAATTACCATCTCAAATGGCAGTCATCTGTTTGATCACTGTGATTATTATCGTTCACGTATCATCACACCTTATTGCTTACACATTTGATTGATAAGTAACTCGGTCTTTTGAAATGAGAAAAAATTGATGAGTGCAGGCAAATTTAGACGCAGATAAGTTATTTAGCTAATCACAAACAATCTGATTAGAGGACTAGTGTATAAGTGTGAGAAACTCAAAAGTTTGAAATGGATTAATCTCACGATTAACTTCGGCTTAAGTCAGGCTAAAGTTCGAGCTCAGGCTAGTTTCTGGCCTTAGCGTTATGCACACATATACGCGCAGGCTCTGGACGTCTTCCATTCATCAATATCCGACATTATCCCAGTTTAATTTTCGATGCTTCTCATGGGTCTCATATTACTAGTGCTTTAAGATGTTGGCAACCTTAATTTGCGACCCTTGCAATTCGCCTGTATCAATTGATTTCATTAGCTTGCGTTTTAAAACGTTACGTATGACATCAACACTCTGTTCATATGGTCCTGATCAAACTGTTGTTTTATATCCACCAGTACAGCCAATTCTTTTAAACTTACAAGTCAGAAATGTTCTTGAGGTTTTTGACATTCCGCTTACGGATTCTCTTCTAAAATTTCATTGAACTGAAGACGACAATTTTGTTTCATGAAGTTACAAAACATTGCATTTTTTCAACCACAGATATCATTCTTATGCCAACTCCAAAAAAAGAAAAGACAGTGTGAGTTCTCAAGGTGCAAATTTATCCAGGAAAGCAGGTGAAAGTAGTGCATGTAACGTATCAAATAGAAAGCGTGAAACTTCAGGTTTTTAAATGCCAACAAAAATCTTTGAATGCTAAGAAGAGTGGAAGTTTAGGTAGCACGCGAAATTCGACGTTTCCTAATCAAAGAATAACTCTACTTTCATTGGAAGTCAGCATATGAAATCAGCATCTGATTTTAATTTGATGTCAGAAAATGCTCAATAAATGGATGTTTATGAATTTTCATTGGGCGTCTGAAGCACCTGTTTGAACGAGTTGAAAAGTTGAACATTAAGTTGGCGATTGCCACCAATGAATAACGTCAAGCAGATTCTCAATTCGAAGTACTGCACGAATGTGAACGAATAAATGTGGCTAGAGAATATGCAAATTTGCGTTGAATGTGAAAATATCAAAAACAATGCTCATTTCAGATTGATTTTCCAATTTTATGACGTTTCAATCTTCCATTGTGTGCGTTAAATTATTTATGCTTCCTGTTTCTCACATGAACAATGTGGAGATTAATTAAATCGCAATGGTCAGTGCAGTGAAATAAGGCATTAAAGCAACAAAAACATCGTCGAACATTTTTTGACGGTTTTTAGAGCACAAAAGTTCGCGAGTGTACTATTTGATCGAATTGATTTTCGCTGATCGCTGCAGTGAAGGATACTCGACTGTGATCGTACATATGCCATCGCATTCGTTCGCTTCTTTTCTTCACCATAACGCATTATCAGTTTTCACTTGATTTTGATATCATATGAACGGCCTTTATATCACTTCAAACAAATGCTGTTCGTTTGTAGTTTTTACTAATGCATTTTAAATTCATTTTTACGAAAAATTTCAAATATTAATACATGGACATGCACTTTACAATTCATATGCTATTTGAGATT